AGAGCGGTCGGGGGCAGGGAAGCCGGCTGGTTGGAGTGTCAGGAACGAACCTAGCGGGGGTTCCGAGGGGGAGAGCGAGTGCACGAACGAGCCCGGCGACGGACGGTGCGAACGCGGAAAGAGGAGAGAGCGAGGCGGAGAAACGGCGAGAGAACGAGCGCGCGTCGAACGAGAAAGACGGCGGCAGAGGGAAGGAAGGACGAACGGAGCGAATCGAGAGAACGAGCGTAAGCGAGAGAGGATCGAGAGAGCGGTATATATACGCGCACCGCGCGAACCGAGAAGAGAGAGCGAGTGAGGGACCGATGCGAGCGGAGAGAGAGAGAGAGAGAGAGCAGTGGCGGCAAGGGCACGAGCGAGAAAGAAATAGCGTAGCACGGAAAGAACGAGGGACACGGCCAGATAGAACTCGAGCCTCGAAGAGTAGTAGCGCGTGCTCGCAAACTCAGCCAGCGCCTCTCGCACAGCGTGTGTCTCCCCGTCCTCCCCTGCGCCTCCACCCCCTTCGTGCCGTACCTACGCTCCTCTCCTATGCTCTACTACGCGTTCGTCGTCGTTGTCTCTTGGCTCCGCCGCGTCCGCCTAACCAACCTCGTCCCACCTCGCTGCTACCTCCGCCTCCTACTCTCCGCTTCTCCGCCGCGTCTCCACCGCTTCTGCCGCGCTCTATCTCGGTCCGCTACGCTTCTCTCCCGGTCCACCCACCGACCCACGAAACCGCTCGTTCCCGCGCCGACTCACCCCACGTACACCGGCGGCTCCTCTCTCCCTATTACTCCGCTCTGCTCCATTCTCTCTTTTTCTTTCTCTCCGCGCGCGCTTCTTTTTCCTTCTCTTCTCGGTCACCCTTTCTCCCTACCGGTTACGTTCTCTTCGTTTACGCGTCTTCTTTCTCCGTGTCACACGGCCAAAGGCGGTAGCTAGCGAGCGCTGGGGTAGCGAGAGAAAAAGAATTCTTTTCTCGCCTTTTCTTTCCCTCTGTTCTCGCTCGCGTATCTCATCGTTTCGTTCTCTCCGCGTCTCGGCCCTCTCGCCTCTTTAGCTTTCCACGACCTCTCTCCGCGCGTGTCACCGTTGGATCGTCGGTTTTCCCTCTGTTCTCGCTCGCGTATCTCATCGTTTCGTTCTCTCCGCGTCTCGGCCCTCTCGCCCCTTTAGCTTTCCACGACCTCTCTCCGCGCGTGTCACCGTTGGATCGTCGGTTGATATTCGTTGGTCGGACGGTTGGTTGATATCGGTTGGTTGGACGGCTGGTCCGGCGAGTGCATGCAGCAGGGGTATAGCCAGAGCCGGCCGACGCGACAGGCAAGCTCCGCGATTATCTTTTGTCCGATCGTATATGCGTGCGTGTGCGCCGCGTCGCTCCACCGTGGCCGTGTGTTTGTTTGCGCGCGGGATAAAAGCGCGAGCGCGAGCAGAGACGCACGCGGTGGATACATATGCTCGTTTTAGTCCTCTCCTCTGTGCGTCTGTGTTCTTCCCAGTCTCCGATGTCGTACTCGCATATATCCGTACTCGAGTTCGTGTTCGTCGTTGCGTCGTCGCATAGCCGTGTAGTCGTCGTCGCCGTCGCCGTCGCTGGATCGCCCTGCTTGCACGCGTGTGTGCGCGCGTATTCGCGATTCCCGCCGCACGTCGCCGGCCTAGCGCCGCGACGGCTAGAACGACGAGCTTTATATTATCGTCGCTGCCGGCGATGCCGCGCGTAGCACGGGAACCAGTAGCGGCGGCGGCAGCGGTCCGCTCTTCTCGCAGGGCAAGGAAGAAAGATAGACACGAAACGAGGGGAAAAGAGATGCGATGGGAAAGAGAGGGACGGAAGAGAACGCGGCGAGTCTGGAATTTTGCGCAGCTCTGCGGGTCTCGATGGCCGGGAATATGGATATTATCGGTGGGATGCTTTTTGAAACTGTGGCTCGTTTGGTCCCCTTTCTCCTCTCACTCCGCCCCTCCTCCGCCACTATCATCCGCGCGCCTCCCCCTCCGTCTCCTCCTCCATCGTCGCTTCGCTCTTCTAGAAGGTTGTAATTATTTGAACGCGAGCGCCTGTGTGCGTAGGCGCGTTACGCGATCGCGTAGCTCGATACAAAAGTAACGCTGTCGGGCATGCGGCGAATCGATGGTTCGCCGAGTCGAGGATCGGCTCCGCGCGAGCACACGAATACCCGCGTGTGTACGTACACCTATGCGCCTACCTCGCAACCTCGGGTAAACGAGATTTATGCCCGAACGAGTCTTTATACGCGGAATCGTGTACGCGACGAGTCGGTGGACGACGCGGCGTGCGTACACTCGCTCTTGCGTGCACGCGCGGATTCGTGGGTAATTATACAGGGAATGTCGCGTCGGTGTTTAAAGCGCGTTCTAAACCGAGACAACGCAAAGCGTACGGTACTCGAGGAATTCTTAAAACCGCGGGACATACCGGGAACTATAAATAAGGCGAGGCGCGCGTACGGACGCGCGCGTGCTCGGCGTCGTACGAGCAGCGTAAATGCGGCGTAAATGCGGCGCGTACGCGAGCGCGTGGAAGCGGACGGAGAAACGGATATACGCTAATCGTGGAAATTTCGGTTACTTTTGAAATCGCACGGTCGAAAGATGGCGCTGCGAGCGGGGTCGTCGCTGTCAAACGGAGGTTCGGTTTCGAACGCGGTCCGAGAGGGCACACCGACGCGAAGATTTAGCCAAGTGCAACGCGCGTGTCCGCTCTCGTTCTATTCGTTTTTCCCAGTCCGTTCCGCTCGCTACGCTATGATTTACTATCGCGCCGTTAGCCCGTGCCTTCTCAACACGCGTTTCTTTCTGTTTTCGATTCCACAGGAGTTGGAGCGACGAAGGGAGTCCCTAAGAGGTTCCGGCACCATGTTGACAGCGTACAGGGTGAGTTATTCGAAATCGTTAATTTTCCAACCGTTATAGGCAGCGCTGCGAAATAGGTCGAGCGTGTAGAGTCATCGTGCAATTTCCGATGCATCTCGAGACCTCGATTTTCTAAACAAACATCCGAGTGGTTATTTCTTTTTTCTTCTTTTTTTCTTTTCTTTTTCTTTTCTTTTTTATTAAATTGGAAATTTCTACCCTCCGACCAGATATCCGGTTAATCGCGCGTATCGGTTCTCGTTACGGAAGTTTACCCTGCCGGTGAAAGTAGTTTTCGAGCCTACTCCGCGAACCTGAAATTTGGATATCCTTACGGTAACGACCGCCGCGAGACGATCGGATTAAGTTTATCAGATGTTTCTCGATGGATACTTAGCACGTTACCGCGGTGAACTCGCGATAACGGTTTTCCATGCTTCGTTTGTTGCGTGTAAATCACCCGTTCCGTGGCCACGTATAATTTGTACGTTATATGCTCGACACTCGGCAACCCTTTCTGCGACTACCGCTTCATCGCCGGTCGGTCGCCGCGCGGGCGCGAGTGCCTGTGTGTGCGTACGCTCGCGCGCGCACCCAGCGCTCCCCTTCTTTAGCCGTGGCAGCAGCCTCGTTATATCTGTACGAGAAAACTCGATCGACGTCGTTTCACGCATCGACGATCGTTTTGGGTTCGTGCTCGATCATCGTCGCGGAGGCCGCCGAAAGCGTCGACGGGTTGTTGAAATCCCGGTTAAAATTCGCGTATTACGGACGGTTGACGAAAGCGCGCGCGATGCTTTCGCGACCAAGACGATTTTTCATAGTCCGCGTCGAACTTTGCTTTCGATTCGTTCGATTCGTTCGATTCGCTGGATTCGCGCGCGTTGCGCCGGGTTTATCGCCTGGATGAAATCGTTGGCGAGCATTTCGCGAGTCGTCCGTGAACGGAAACGACTGGCGAACCGTTGGCGAACGTTTATAGGTTAAGTTGGCGAACAGCAGGGACCCCTCGATGCACCGTTTCTCGAGCGAACGGTATTGGTCGTGGTGCTCGTACCTCGCCACTGACCGTTCTCGGAAACGTTCGTACCGTCAGTGATCGCAATTGGCGAGCGGTGTGAACCCGGTATTAACTACCGTTTAACGTGAAACACCTCGAACGACTCTGGTCTGGTTATTCAACCTCCGCCGAGTATGCAACTTAATCCAGGAAACCCATATTCGATCGCTTTCTCCGCGCGTTCTTAGTCCCCCTCCACTGCCCGTCTTTCCGACTCGCTGATAAATCGTGGAAAGAGGAAGCAGAAAAACCGCGGAAAATGGAACAACGAATGGCGCGGCATTACGTTCCGCGGGCACGTCGAACTCCCGCGAGTCGAATAATTTGTCACCGGGATGACGTCAACGGAGAGTTGAGCTTCTTAGGCGGCACGAACGCAGATACGCGTGCACAGTGATTACTGTACGCGCATGCTGCACCTTGCGCATGGAAATGCAGCAAGAGCACAGGCCGGCGTGCTCGCGAACTCGCTGGAATGAGTCAACCCGACGCGTTTCTTCCACGACTCGGCCGCCTCGTCGCTGATCGAACGTTCCACCTACGTTCACTCCCCCCCTCCCCCCACTGCCCGTCGCGCTCCCTCTGTCTTCGCCGCGCGTAAGCTCGCTCCACGAGTTTGCCCGTCTTTCTCCCGCGTTACCCGTGGCCTAACCAAATGCCTCGGCTACGCGTACGCCACGCGATCCCCGTGCCTTTCCACCTTCGTCATCCGTCGGTTTTTCCTTCCACGTTTTCGCCAATGCCGGCGAATCGAACAGAGGGAAGGTCGGTTCTCTCCAGCGTTCCGCGTCCACCGCGTGTCCCTTCCGTTCCCGTGTGTTCAGCGACCGAATTTACGACGCAGATAACTCGGGCTAAGTACGATCTTAAGCGACTGGAGGAGCGTAAAATATTTTATGGTTACAGTAAATTTTATCGGTTTATATCTCTGCTCCGTTAGCTTCGTATTAATACAAGGCGATCTCCGTCGTAGACCGAGCGCGAAACCGACGAGAACGGTGGTATTTCAACGAACGAATCGGTCTCGTTTCCGCGATACCCGCGAGATGAGCAAATCTGTAAGACGGGTATCGTTTCGTTTTTAAAGCTGTCTATAGGCCTCGAATCGCCGCGATCGTCCGATTTATCGCGCAATTCGTAATAATTTACCCGATTATTCTTCCTTCCGTCGTTGATTATTCGACGGAGAAAGGGGAAAAGAGAGAAAGCAGGAGGAAGGAAAATAATTTTGCATTTAACGAGAGTTCGTCGTTCTCGCTATCTCTCGCCCTCTATCTTTTCCTCTTGCCTTCTTTCTCTCTTCCGTAGCTCTCGTTTCTGCCACTTTTATTCCAACCTCGCGATTCACTTCGTATCCGAATGCAAATCTCTCGTTACTTTTTACCCTTTGTTTTTCCGCTGGTTCCCGTGTCTTTTACACTGGCCGCGCGGAGAAGCGGTTTTAAAATTCGCGCTCCGTGCGTGTCGCCGTGCACCGCGACGCGACTCGCATCGGTAACTGGTCCGTCTTTTCGGATACGTTCCGGGACGAGTAGACGCTCCGAAATCGTGACTCACGCGCCATATTTGCCGCGCTCTTCGACCTCGAGTTAATCGGAATTACGCCTTTGCGTAACGTTCTACCGAAGGGATCGGCCAAAATTTAATCGTCCACTTCTCGCCGACGTTTTTCCCCCAGTTTTCTGCCCGTTCCTCGTGTTCCCGGTGTTTTCTCGCGGGGACAGTACCTAAGCGTCTAAATTTGCATACCGCCGAAAAACACTCCCGTATTTGCATGAATTAGCATGGTTCGTATACTCGCGAGCGAAAATGAATCAACGGGACGGGAACGTCGAAGAGATCAAGTTCAGTGTTATTCGTCGTGTTTCCCAGAATTGGAGTTACGTCGTTCCACGAATTCGGCCATTCTAACTCCCGACCAGAGAACATCTCGCATTACGCTACTCCCTCGTCGACTATTCTCAAAGTCGGTACGGTTAATTTTTCGTTTTTATCAGTATTATTTGTTCGACCGAAACGCTAATCCTCGCGTATATTTCTCGTACTTGGCAAAATTCGAAGATAGAAAAATTTCGAGAGACAAGGCATCGCGCTTCCCATCTCGTCGTCCCGAGCCCGTATTTAATTACGCGTTACTCGCGCGAAGTTGAGCCATCCAATGGGTCAGCTCGAGCTCTCGGAAGTTGGCCACGCTACGCGTATTCGCCGACGAAACAACGAAACGAACAGGCGCGCGCCTAGCGGAGTTAATCTGAGCGCGGCGGTGTCACCAAAGGGTTAATTGGGAAGGAGCAGCGAGCCGCGAATACTACGCGCCGGGGCTACCTTAAAAGCGAGAGACGAAGGCGCACGGACTCGCGCGGCGAGTCGCGGAGCGGACAACACAGTCGATGCGGTGGCAAAAGACGCGGGCGCGAGAGAAAGAGGCGAGCGCGAGGGCCGGAGGGACGGGGGAGTGACGGGACGAGAGAAGACGCGAGACGCGACCCGGCGAGAGAGAGAGAGCGAGAGAGAGAGGCGCGTCGCGGTGGCGCGGCGCGGCGGCCGGACGAGGTACGCGAGAGAGAACCGGTGGAATCGTTGCGGACGCATGAAACGGCGTTAGCTGCGCACGCCACCGTCTCCGCCGGAAATTATGCCAGCTCTCCGTTTCTACGTTCGGTGTAAACGAACCGAGGTAACGCCGGCCGGCCAGCGTCGACCATGCCAGTGCGGAACACGCCCCCAGGAACTGCGTTTCTCGTGGGCGACGGCCTGAAATATCGAGCGCCTTGCCCACGTACACACGCGAAAACGATGGAACCCGAATGTCCGTGGGGAAAGAGAGAACCGGCCGTGGTTGCCCGGGACGAAAACGAGAAGGAAGAAGCAGCAGCGGCAGCACCACCGGGCAATCGGGACAGGTTCGACGGCGAACGAACGCGAACGTTCGTTGGGAAGCAAGAGAGAAATACCGGGGACTAACCCGAAGGGTGGGGAAAGGAGCAGCTTTTGCCGAATAATTTTCCATCCTTCCGATCGGCTCTCCTCGGGGAAAACGTGGGACCCGTGTCGGGATACCGGCGGTGCGTATCGAGGAAACCGCGTTCCGACGACGATTTTCGCGCGAAACGCCTACCCCGTTCGAGAGCTTCGTCTCGTTTCTCCGTCGAGGTAAAGAAGGACGATCGATAGATACATCGGAATTACACGGCGCGTAATGGATAACGGGGGGTAGAAAAAGAGGAAAAGGACGTAATAAACCGGTAGCAGCGGACCGGGTAAAATCGAGAGGGGTAGTTATCGTTGTTATTATCGTTTACCCGGTTCGCGGAGATCCAAAATCAGCGAGTCCTTTAAACGCCGCGATCACGTACGCGCGCGTTACATGGTCACGAATGAGGGTCGGAGAGAAGGGGCGTGCGAGGGTGGGAGGATTAGGGCGGGAGGAAATTAGATGCCGGCGGAAAAGAGGGAAGAAAAACAACGGCCGAGAAGTTTCGAGGGATAATTTTCCGCCTTCCTGACTGGCGGCTACGCGAGGAGGAAAGCCCGTACCCTCGAGCGGCCATGCACGTAGCTTTTTATAGTTTCTTAACGTAGAAACGCTGCCCTCGAGCAGGTGTGCAGGCCAACGCATCCATTATGAACCGTCGAGCGAGGTATTAGACTCGTTTTGTCAGCAATTTGATCGGCGTGCCGCGAAGGAAAAGAGAAAGGAGGAAAAAGAGCGAGCGCGCGCGTGCGAGAGAGAGAGAGAGAGAGAGAGAGAGAGGATAGGATAGGAGCCGTTATTAAAGCGTTATTAAGTTTCGACGCGCGACATTCCTTGGATCGTTCCCGAACCGCGAGAACCGCGAAAACCGAGTCCTCCCTTCCCACTATTATTTCGAACAAAGTTGGGTGGAAACGACGGTCGAGTCGAATTTACGATACTTTACCTCGAATTCGATATTTTCGTATCCCAGCACGAATCGCGAAA